GGTATCAGGTGGTTTCCAGCTTTCTATAATAGGAAAGAGCATTCTCATGGAAAAAGCAAAAAAAAAAAAGGAACCAAACCAGGCCATGAACCTTTCAAGGGAGCCTGCACAGTTTTAAGCCACTGGGTGTTCAAACTATTTGGGAAAATCCAAGTTTGAACTTAAGTCCTTGCCCTTATGATAATGACCTAGTAGTTTGCTATTACAGAAAATTTTATAAAACCTGAAAAATAATTAAAAATTTTGAAAACCTTTTTATAAAACTTAGAAAGTTGTAACATGGGGCTCACACTATGTCAATATACACAGTATTTATGGAACCAGAAATCAGGAAGTAGAAATCTCCTGTCTTAAATGTCTGCAGGAAGGAAATGTTATCAAAGGGAAACTCTTCCCCGGATTCTGATGCTAGATTAGCTAATAATGGTAGAGGAAAACTCACAAATATGATTTGGTACTGGTTCTAGTTTTCTCCTACAACCAATAGAACTATAAAAATACTCAAAAGCTTACTTTGGAAAAGATGTTTCTCCAAAAAACAAAAAAAGATGTAAGTTTCTATGCTTTTTTTTTCCCCCAATAACTTTATAGGATGAGGGAAAAAGTGAAATATTCTAGAAAAATAAAATGAAGAAGTAATGAACATAAAGAAATTGAGCCCATGGAAACAAAGACTCAGATTAGAATCCTGGCTCTGCTGAAAGACCTTGAAAAGATATTTCATCTCTCTTTTCCTCAGCATCTTCATCTGTGAAATGGAAATAATCCTGGCCTCCAGAACTGTGAGACAATAAATTCTGACTGTTTTAAGCCACTCGCTTTGCTTGTGGCACTTTGATGCAGCAGCTGTAGGAAACTAACACAGCAAGGAAACTAATAAAGGAAGGAAAATGTTGCTTTTAGCTTCAGGTGAAATTGGTAGAGAAGACCTAAGCCATATAGAAGGGACTATATCTTACAAAATAAACCTTTTAGGAGTTTGAACCTAGTTAGGTCTTGGATTCAGTTTTGTATTTCAAAACTAGGGACAACAGTACTTAGACCATAAGGTTATACATGAAGGTATAGTCTGTAATTAGTCTTTATTATAATAAGTTATTATTAGGCACATATTGGATATTATAATGTTATTTGTTAATCTATAAGTATAACTTGACAATAAATTACTTTTATAATACAATATTACTATTCTTGCTGTGCCAGTCTGATAGATTTACACAGCTTCACTACTCCAAAGGCAAAGCTAGTTTTGTTTACTACGATGCTAGTATAGTGGTTGTCAACTAGCAGGGATTTGCCCCATGGGGACATTAGGCAAAAACGTCCAGAGACATTTTTGATTGTCGCAACTAGGGTGCAAGGGGGCTGCTACTAGCAAACAGTGGATAGAGACGAGGAATGCTGCTAAAACATCCTACATTGCACAGGACAGCCCTCTACAACAAAGAAACATCAGGCCCCAAAATGTCAATCGTGCCGAGGTTGAGAAGTCTGCTTTTGCTGTACCCAGATAACTTCCAGTCAAAGCTTCAAATACCAAAGTGTTCATGTTCTCATCCCTCATCCAGAGTAGTCGATCATGTATCCTTTTGAAATTTGGTAGAACCAGGCTATTAGTAGAGTGACTCACTAGCAGCCAGTGCTAATGAAAACTTTAAACTTACTTTTAAAGACCAAGGCATGTGTCCACAGCCCCAGCTACTCAGGAGGCTGAGGTGGAAGGACTGCTTGAGTCCAGGAGTGTGAGGCTGCAGTGCACTATGATCTTGCCTGTGAACAGCCACTGAACTGTAGCCTGGACAACATACCAACGTCCTGTCTCTAAAAAAAATAATAAAAATAAAAATAAACTATCTTTTCTAAAAAAGTGAAAATTCCTGTTAACGAAGACAACGTCATGGCCACTCATCAAGCCAGCTTTACAAGCACTAGCAGTGATACATGCACTGTGAAGCTGAGGGGGCCACACACCTCAGCAATCTATGGAATGCGCTCAGCATAAAACTTCTGCCAGTCTGGATCGGAGGAGGACGAGTAACTGTCCTCCCGAGCAGCCTTTCCCAGTAGCTGAAAAACCTCCCTGAAGAGGAAAACCACTGGAACCCCAGCGGCTAAGTTCCTTGACTGAAACCTGGAATTAGAATTAGGCAGTGGGTGGATAGATCAGTCAAGCACTGGCACAGGTGATTTTCCTTATCTGTAACTTGTGGCCGAGCCTAAATTGTTGCCTGGTTCAGGGTTGTTGTATCTCCTTTACTGTTGCCTCTGGCATGCAGAGCATTTGCAGTCACCTCCTTGACGCTATAATGTAAATACGGTCAGGCATACTGTACATTTTTAACCAAGTCTGTTAATCAAGCTTCTGTGGTCTGCATGTCACCTCACCATATATTCAGGTCATAAACAATTAGGTCTCCAATATTATTACCTAAGAACACCCTAGAAATACAATGAACTAATTGGTAAGGCAAGAAAATTCTAGTTTTGGTAAAGGTCAAGTTAGGTACTCAGGTTGTCCTCTCCACTGGAGCTGTATATCTTGCTCTTAAAAAAAAAAAAAAAAAAGAAAAGAAAAGAAAAAGGCCAGGTGAGGTGGCTCACGTCTCTAATCCCAGCACTTTGGGAGGCCAAAGCGGGCGGATCACCTGAGGTCAGGAGTTCTAGACCAGCCTGACCAACATGAAGAAACCCCGTCTCTACTAAAAATACAAAATTAGCCAGGCGTAGTCACATGCCTGTAAACCCAGCTACTCAGGAGGCTGAGACAGGAGAATCACTTGAACCTGGGAGACGGAGGTTACAGTGAGCCAGAGATCACGCCATTGCACCCCAGCCTGGGCAACAACAGCGAAACTCTGTCTCCAAAAAAAAAAAAAAAATTCTCAAAGACTCCCAGTGGCATTGCTCTATGTTTGACTAATAATGCAAGTTCAAATTTACCTGAGAAAATAAATGTGGAATAGCTAGGAGAGCAATGTTAAATACAATGGCAAAACCATCTGTGAAGGGCAAAGTATACTGCTAAGTAGAAGAGCATCTACCATAATTCTGACTTTCAACAGTCTATATTTACCGAGTAGTTCTGTGCAAATTCAAGAACAAAAGTTGCACTGTACTGGTTTAAATACCTTTAATATTTTCATTAAGTCGCCAAAGTCATCATAATCAAAATTACATTTATGTTTAAACTTGGCTTGGTACTGTCAGTGTACATTTTATCATTTAAATCAAAAGTTTAGTTAAAGCTCTAGGTCCACTGAGACAGAACAAATATTTCAACAGCTGGAAGATGTTAAAAGTCAAGAGTTCTGGCATTTGAAGAGACATATATAATTACTCTCCTCTACAAACAAAACATCCTGGAGAAAGCCAAGGAAAAATGCTATCTCATAGGAAACCAACAAAACACAGAAACATAAAAATTGTAATTCTTCTCCCATCTTTATAAAATTTACAGCTGGGCGCGGTGGCTCATGCCTGTAATCAAAACACTTTGGGAGGCTGAGGCAGGCAGATCACGAGGTCAGGACATCGAGACCATCCTGGCTGACATGGTGAAACCCCATCTGCACTAAAAATACAAAAAAATTAGCTGGCCGTGGTGGCGGGCGCCTGTAGTCCCAGCTACTCCAGGAGGCTGAGGCAGGAGAATGGCTTGACCTTGGGAGGCGGAGCTTGCAGTGAGCGGAGATCATGCCACTGCACTCCAGCCCAGGTGACAGAGCAAGACTCCGTCTCAAAAAAAAAGAAAAAAACAATTACTTAGCTACTAGAAGTATTTAGACTACTCCAGGTAAGAGAAATAATTTCTCCTTGGAGATATGGAAACAGTATTTTCCTAAGTATGAAAAATAATTATCAGAATTTTAATGTATGTATCATTGTCATATTATGGTTTTTCAGGGAAGAACATACTAACATCTCATTTCAGCTGGACAGCCACTCAACTGAAATAATTCATAATATGGTCTGGAGCAAAAAGAAAAACTCAATCTGTTTTAATTTAGTTTGAATTTTCAAGCTACAAAGTCAGCAGCTCAGAACTAGCATTTAATTATTTCTGATACATCTGGACATTTATTTTGTATTTTCATAGGAATGTGTTTCTATAATTCTCTTCACCTTGCCTAAATTGCACTCCAGGACCACCCCTGCTCCCACCACGTGACATCAATTCAGCCCACCATCGTTTCCCTCATATGTGGAAATCACAGCCCACAGATTTATGTTTTCACTCTAAGTTCATATTCTAGAAAAGACGGAATATTTACGTAGGACTTTACATGTATTCAGTGCATTTAATAAAGTATGTTCCCTAGAGAAAGGCAGAGCTGACGGGGGGTGTGTGTGTAGAACAGGAACAGTTTGACAGAAGAAATACTGGAAAGAAAAGGTTTCTACAATATTCTTCATGGACATCTCACTAGAGCTGGACACAAACACACAACTAGAAGCCTGGAGTAAGAAGAACAAACACTCTGCCAATCAAATGATTTACTTTATTCCCTTCAGAAGGGAGTATGGCTAACACCTTCCCAGTCACAGGGGAATATTTTAGAATAAGAATCATGAAAAGCAGTGCATTTTAAATTAAGTTAAAAGGAGCACTAGAGTTGCTCCCCAGCCTGTTCTCAACTGGACCAACTTTTCTGTTTTACACAAAAATTTTATGGTAGAAGGAATCTGAAAAACACTGAATGAGAATAAAAACAGTGCTACCTTCTCAGAGATATCATAAGAATTATGTGATGTAAATGTGTAAAATGCTTAGAACAGTGGCTCAGTAGAGGTTGGCAAGAATTATGATGCAGATAATGATTCAAGTCTGAACTATATAAGCAATTCAAAGAAAATGAAGCACAGATGCAATTACGATTCAGTATGTAGAAACTATACTTTCAACATCTCTAGCTTTTAAAGAATGATCACCCTAACAGGCATCTGAATTACAGAACTTTAAAACTGGAGTGTCTAGTCAGCAACACCAGATAAAGACTTACCTCTTCTTCTTGGTGATAATGAGCACGTCATTAAAGAGAAAGAAGTAGACTTGCTGTTTGGATGTCCTTCTTGAGAAAAGCACAGTGTCTTCTACATAGGCTGTCAATTCACCTCTTTTTACCAACCACCGGGAAGAGGAGACTAAAGGAAAAGGCTACAAAAGGAGAAAAACTCAGTGACCAAAGCCAAATTGAAATCCTTTTAAGATTACTGAAAGGAAAATCTAAAACGTGCATTCAAACAAATGATACTTATCATAGTATGCATCATTGTTTCATAGGCATATAAAACTGAACTAGAAATATAGAAGTACAGAAAATTCAAGAAAAAATGAAAAAGAACAATATATCTTCTACTATAAAAAACTACTAACTTCCCAATATGAAACTAAAACTCAATGAGAAAATGTTACTGGATCAATAAAAAACCATGACTCTTCTATTAACTCTCAACTGAAAAAGAAAGTAAGGAGTTACTTAAAATTGAAAAGCCTAGTAATAAAATCTATCAGAATCAACTGGTTATTTTAAATATCTCAAATCAGAATCTAAACATACAGAAAAACACAACTGTAGGTTAATGAGACAAATATAAAAGTCTACATTTACTTTATGAACTAAAAAGGTTTCTTTCAAGAGAAAAACCTACATGCTTTTTTGTCTACAAATTATCTATTTAGCCATATTCTTGAGAACACCTATTCTTAAGATCATGGTAGCTTTCTTCATGGAAGTCTGTCCCTGAAAGCATCATACTACTTTCTGGCTGTGAAAATGAGGTTCTTCCAAAATAATCCATCATAATCATTATATCATAGAAAAGGCTGTATCCAAACAATTAGCATACTGCTTTTTTATTTTCTTTATTGTCTTGTACAAGCCAACTGGAAAACTCTCAAAACTACAGAACAATCCTTACCCTTGAAAGCTTTTTTTTTTTTTTTTAAGTTACCAGAAATGTTTACTGCCAAAAATCTGATTTAAAAGACTACATCCATAAAATAAGCAAAAGTTCTTGGACACAAAATATAATGCAGAAATGTGGTGCAATCAAACATCACCCTTTTCAGGAAATAATAATTATAAATAGCTAAAGGAAATTGAGGATATTAGAGAGGAAATGAGAAGTCTAAGAAAGGATTTCAAATTTATTTTAAACTTTATAAAGAGCTTTTAAAAGAAGATTGCTTATCATTTATATACTATTTTCCTGAAGGTCCAAAAAATGAAGATAAAAGATCATGGCTAACCCCAAACTTTTCAAAACTGGCTGCTAAGGGAATTCATGAAGTTCCCAACCCCCAAAATCTCGAAAACAGACAATTACCCTACAGAGACAGCTGAGACCTTAAAGGTCAACAGATTGCTTAGATAACTCCGGCAGACTAGGCAGCACACACAAGAGGTCACCTTGTGTCAGGGTAGGTCCGGCTGAAGGGCCGTAATTACAGGAAACACAGGACTATCTTGCTATTGCGTGTAACCCTACAAGATGAACCAAGGACAGTATTATGGTTAAGTTTCAGTGTACATGCTGCCCTGTGACTGTTCTGATTTAGGGGGTGGAGAAACAGAGATTTTTTCAATTGTTTTATTGTTTTTAAAACAGATTAGTTTTTATGGAGTCCTCATACTCCACTAGGGGCAAAACTGAATTTCTATCTATAAACACCTAAAATTGACAATAGTTTTCAATACATCTATATTTCTTTTGAAACCAAAAATCCAATATTATATATAGTTTATGTTTCAAATTTATTGTTAGAAGACTGAACTCATTCAGATAGGTTTAATTAAAGAAGAGACATTAAAATGATCAAAATAAAGGAAATCAGAACAGCCCAAAGTGAGCATGAGTGAATTCCCCTAGTACAGAAGTGCTGAGACTAGAATCAAGGTGTGAACCAGAAACTAGAAAAGAAATTCATGAACAAAGATATATCCTAAACAGTACTGATGCAATGCCTACAGAGCACAGACTTTTCATTCTTTTTTCCTATTACCTAGAATCCTAGAAAACGAGCCTTGGCATAAAATGTAATTAATTTTATGGGGCAGCAAGAAAAGAAAGAGCTGCTGAACAGCAAATTTTTTTTTTATGTTGAGATAAAATTTACATAACATGAAATTGACATATTGACCATTTCACCACTTCAGAGGGTATAGAATACAGTGGTTTCTAGTATGTTCACAGTGTTGTTCAATAATCACCATTATTCCAGAACATTTTTATTACCTCAAAAGGAAACCCCATATTCACTGAGCAGTCATCCCCCACTCTTCCTCCCCCAAGCATCTGGCAACCACTAATCTACTTTCTAACTCTATGGATTTGTCTATACTTGATGTGTCATATAAATGGAATTATACAACATGTGATCTTTGAATTTGGTTTCTCTCACCTAGCATAATATTTCCAAGGTTCATCCACATAGTAAATATCAGAACTTTATTCCTTTCTGTGCCTAAATATTTTACTATATACCTATATCACATTTTGTTTATCAATTCTTCCACTGATTTGAGCTATTTCCACTTTATTGGCTATTATGAATAATGCTGCCATGAAGATTCGTGTATATGCTTTTGAACATCTCTTTTCAGTTCTCTTGGGTATATATACCTAGGAGTGGAACTGCTGGGTTATATAGTAGTAACCCTTATGTTTAGATTTTTGGGAAATCACCAAACTGTCCGCTATTACACAAAGATTTTTCTTGTATTTCCACTGGGGGGCCATCAGCAAGGCCCCCAAATGGCAACTAGCAAAGCCTTCTGTCAATTAACATCCCACCACTCCACTCAACCACACTGAATGTATGTCTCCTAATGCAGCCTGAGAACCCTCAACTTCTCCATGTGCTTATTCATAAGGTCAAACCCATCGCAGGACCAAAAAAAAAAAAAAAAAAAAAAATTCTTCCCAACTCTGTAGAAGCAACTTTTAAAGAAAGCTGTTCTCTAGTGGAGAAAAAACACTGGATTTGAGACACAAACTAATCTCTGGTTTTTGATCTTGGTTGAGCGACCAGCTTTTTCTCTACAACCATCATTTTCTTTCCTCCCATCTCAGAGGATAAGCTCTCCTGTCTTCAACACCCTGCTTTCAGCTCTAAGGCCTTATTCCCTTGATTTATTCCCCTCTCATTAGTATTTTCTCCCTCCTGGCTCCCTTTCTGCAAACTATCCTGAACACTATCACTAAAATGGTCCCTTGACTTTGTGTATCCTCTAGTTATCATCACTACCCTATCCTCTTGATAGTCAAGCTTCTGGAATGAAAAGTCTAACCTGCTTCAAATGCTTCACATCCCATTCACTCTTCAATGCATCCACATCTATTTAAATATTCTGATAAAACATCTCAATAATGTTTTCTGCTTGTTTACTACAAATCAGGTCTGTTTCAATCCTTTATATCTCTTAAAGAATTTAATTTTCAAAATCATTCCATGAGGAAAAGTACTGTCATCAGCTTTATTTTAGGGTTCAGAAAACCAAGACATGAAAAGGTAAGTGATGCCCAAGGTTATACAGCTAGTATACTACAGCAACTCAGGCAGGCCAGCTCTGGAGCCTGTGCTCTAACTTTATACTAGCTTCCAAAGTGCCAATCCAGCGATGCTTTCTACCTCCTCTCATATTACTGCAGTTAAGCACTTGACAGTCTTCCAGGAAATCACAAGCAAAATTAAAAATGAAAAACGTGTGAAATGAAAATGAAACACACACACACACACACACACACGCCCTACAAAATTTACTTTCCTCCAAATTAGAAAAATATCCATATTATTATACAGTCATTGTTAAGAATGTGGACTCCAGAGTCAAAGATTTGAATCTAGACTTTATAACGTCTTCGTGTATAACCTTGAGCAAAGTATTTAATCTCTCTAGCTTCAGGTTCTTCATCTATAAAATGAAGTTAATAATAGGGTACTTTACAGGGTTCTTGTGAGAATTAAATCAGATAAATATGAAAATGGCACTACTTAGTAAATTTGCAACCAATATTCTCATAGTAGTAGCACCTATAGCCATACCATAAAACAAATATGGCCAAAATAGAACTCATTACCTTCCCCTGAAACTTGTTCCTCCTCCTGAATTTCCTATCTGAGTGAGTGGGTGGCTCTCCACCCAGTCAACCCGACAAGACCCACTCCCTGACCACCGCCCCTCACAGGTAATGACCAATAACTAGTTTCGTCTGCATCTGTCCAAAGATTTCATCTGCAAAAGCAAATTGTATTTTTTTATATCTAAACCTTACTTTTTTCATTTAATAATGTATAAGAAAGATTTCCATATAGGTATCTAAAATTCTCCTTTATTCTTTTGAGTGGTATCACATTATTTGGGTATACTATAATTTATTTAATCAGTCCTCTTTGATAGATATTTAGATGTTTTTCCTCATCTTTCACTATTACAAACAACGCTCAGTGTGTGTATAATTTTATACATTGATGAGTACATCTGTAGAATAAATTCTTAGAAGTAAAATTGCTGAGTTGTAGTCACTTGCATTTGTAGTTTTGATAGTTATTGCCAAATTGCACACCATTGGAGTGGAACAATCTTTCCCACCGGCAACATATAAAAATGTCTTTCTCTCCAATTCCATCAATAAAATGTGTTATCAAACTTTTGAATTATTTATAAATCCAAAAGATGAGGTTCATTATCTTTATTTGCTAGTCTTCAAATAGCAATTTTCTTCTGAGTGAAATAAAGCATCTTCAAAACTTTAATCATCATTTGGGTTTCCTTTTCTGGTAGCAGTTTTCTAATTTGCAACTTTCTAGTGGTATTTTTTTTTCTTTGTTTTACACAACAGGAATTTATGTCTCACAGTTTTGGAAGACAGCCTAAGATGAAAGTGTCAGCAAGGCCAGGCTCTCAGAAGGTGCTAGAGAATAATCTGTTCCAGGTCTCTCCCCCAGCTTCTGGTAGTTTGCCGGCAATCTTTGGTGCTCCTTGGCTTGTAGACTAGTGGGTCTTCTCTTATCACTTTGATTTTATACATTGGGGATATTTACCTTTGTCTATATGTGAGTTGCAACTATTTTTGTCTCCAGTTTGCTATTTGCCTTTGCACTTTTTTCATGGTCTTTTTCCCCCTATAGAGAAAATTTTTAAAAAGTTATATAGATAAATTGGACTTTTTTCTTTTAATGACTTCTGGCTTTGGAGTAAGTTGGAAAAGCCTTTCCCCACTGCTGAAGTTGTCTTTACTAAACACACATCTGATTGTGTCACTTCCCTAATGAGAACTTTTTAGTGGCTCCCAAATGACCTCACTCAGCTCCTCCTCTTGGTGCACAGGGATGTCCATATGAGTGTTTGCCTGCTACCGCAGCTCCGCCCTGCTCCTCTTGCACCCCAAGTCTACCCACAGTTCCTGAATTGCTTACAATTCCTGGGCCACAGCAGTGGAAACTGTGCGTTTGTTTCTGCTCTGAGACCCTTCCTAACTCACCTTTCAAGATTCAGGTCAAACACACCTCTGGCATGAAGCCTTGCCAGACTGCTCCAAGCCCCACAGCCTGTCTCTTGCTCTTAGAGCTGTCCATCTCCTTTCCATTTCCAGTACTTTCCATAGTCTTCTAGCTACTGTGATAGCTGTAGACTTTGCTGACTCCTTTGATTTTCAGCAGTCTTCTACTAGACTATGAGGGGAGGGATGACCATGTTTTTGTTTATCTACTGCCTTCCACATGGAAGATGCTCAGTAAATCTGTTGTATTCTTACAATACTTGCCATTGTATACTTGGATAAATCATTTAACCTCACTGAACCTCTATTTTATCATCATTAAAATAAATTAAATAGGAACGTCCACTGTTATTCATATAGTGTTATAAGGTCCTAAGATTTTACGAGTATTTCCAATTAGTACTAATTAGTAATTCTAAGTGTTCTAAATTAAGTGCTCCACTGTAAATCTATACTTTAGGCTTGCAAATATTTTAATCATTGAATGAAAAAGAAAACAACCAACCGAAATTCATGAACTCAATTGATGTTAATCACTTACTTTTAATGATCCTTGGGGTTAGTATTTTTCAGTTACAAATTAATTTTGGGTTCTGGACCGAGTTTTTTTTTTTTTTTTTTTTTTTTTTTGAGTCTTGCTCTGTTGCCCAGGCTGGAGTGCAGTGGTGAGATATCGACACATTGCAACCTCTGCCTCCAGAGTTCAAGCGATTCTCCTGCCTCAGCTTCCCAAATAGCTGGGATTACAGGTGCCCACCACTACATCCGGCTAATTTTTGTATTTTTAGTAGAGACAGGGTTTCATCATGTTGGTCAGGCTGGTCTCAAACTCCTGACCCCAGGTGATCCCTACCTCGGCCTCCCAAAGTGCTGGGATTACAGGCATGAGCCACCTTGCCCGGCCTGGACAGAGTTTCTTAATGTAATCTTATACCAACTGAGTTTCAGTGAAGAAGGGAAAAGAAAAATGGTTAGGGATTTTTTTCATCTTTCAAAAGGAGGAAATTAAAAAACAAAAAACAAACTTGTCAGATATATTTTCCAAAATATTTAGAAACAAATTAGAGAGAACGAGATATTGAGAACTAGGAGAAAGATGGGTTTTTTAATTGCTGTAAACTTCTGTACAAGAATATTAAAACTATTTAAAGTGTGCGTGCATGCATGTGTGTGCGTGTGTGTCTGGTTTTTGGCAAATACCCATCTTCTTCCCTTTTACAGTTTGTGTTTCTGCATCTAAACCCTTACCGTCAGAATGTTACAGTAGAAGAGTTTACACTGACCTGCAAGTCAGGACGTCTGGACCTTAGTCCTGATTTTATCACCACTAGCCAAGTGACTCTGCAGACAATTATTCTCTGGGTTTCTTTTCCTTATTCTTAAAACAAAAGGGTGTAGCTGTACTATATCAGTGATCCTCAATTTTAGTATATATGCTGCCAAAGCAAGCATGCAATAATCCTCAAACTACATGACACGGCAGAGAATCTGCTCTTCACAGAATACCATGAAATGCTGATCACTATAATTTGACTGCACGAAATAGAAACACTTTTACTAGGGAAAAACATGACCAGTCATTTAAAATGGTTTAATGACATTTACAAGTTATAAAACTAAATAGAGTCACAATTGTGAGCACTCACTTCCCATTAAAAACTCAGCCGGTGAGCCAACAAAAGAATGGCCATGACCTAGATTTGCCATTAACTGTCATTTTCTTCCTCTTTGTTCATCTTGTCATCTGCTCCAGAGCAGTATCAGACAAGGAATAACAAGCAGCACATATTCAAAAAAATTATGGGAGAAAAACAATCTTGAAAAAAATTACCTATTAACGATCTGTTTTGCAAACAAGAAAAGGAGTGTCCTTATTTAATTTAGGAGAACACTGGTCCAGGGCATGGAATATTACTGTTTTTCAGAACATTTTGAGAATAATGAAGGAATCTCCTTTCAATTCTAAAATTCTATTATTTTAACTACACTATTCTATTATTTTGTTTATTCCCCTAAGCTTGGTGTCTTCCTGGAAAAAACCAAAAAAGTCTTCTTAGATAATGCCTGGCTTCAGGGCCTGGAGAAAGGTCACTCTGGTACAAGCAAAACCAAATTGCCTGAAGCATCTGCTACTCCTTCTTATCAATTTATGACCCTTCTTTGAAAAGCAAATTCCCATCTACTTTGTTGCCCTCAACTGTCTCTCTCTATTTAGAGAAAACTTAGGCAAGAACAGTAATGAACAAGGTACGAGAATACCTTAATTTTAAATTCCAGCTGGGAGTTAATTGTGTACATCATCTCAGTCCTTTCCATCTTCCGGGCGCCCTCATTGCACAGTCGAACCAACTGGGAACACAGAAGAGTAATGAGGGTTAAAGGTCAAGGAGAGAAACCTCACTTTCAAATCAGAACTCTAACAGGAAATAATTAACACTTGGGAAGCCCTAGAGACTTATTTCTGGCAGAGAACTCGCAGTTTTTCACAGTTAAGATATTCACATCCAGTTAGAAGTAGTGTGATTAGGATGTGAAGACAGAAGGGAAAAAAAGGTCGCCCTATCTCAGGGAAAGCTGCACTCCTTGCCCCTCTTCCAAATCAGAGCAGCTGAAGGGAGATGGCCATCCTCAAAGGCAAAATCTAAGCAGAGTGCTATGTAAAGCATGTGGCCAGTAAACGGAGTGCTGAAGAGGGAAGTCTTACAGGGGAGCCTGACAGTCAAGGATTCTTCAAAAATAGCCAAGCTAAGGCCATCAGTTACATTTCAGTTTCACTGGAAGCACTAAATTATCTATAAAGCAAAATTATCTACAAAGAACTTTCACAGTTGTTTAATGAGCACCTAATCTTCATTCACTGGTCTAAATCAAAAAGAATTTTGCATCTCAAATTTCTCATTAACTGGAAAACCTGAAAAAAAAAATGCCCATGTAAGAGTCATTGGCCATAAAAACAAAGGTGATTGTTAAAAGGAGTGGAAATTTTAATTGGATTTATTTTTAATATTTCTGCTTTGTTAGGTAATGCCCACTATAAAAATATAGTTACAAAAATATAAACATGCCCACTATAGAAATAAATAAATGATTATTATAATATAGAAGTAAATAAAATAGGCCATAAAAGGTCCTGACCGACTCCCACTGAACAGATGTAGTTGGAAACAGACTGGGCCACATACTTTCTCTTTTTTTCCTATGTTTATATGAACATATAAACACACACATATATGTATAGAAATTTTTCTTTCATTTTTGGAAATGATTATTCTATGCTGTGTGTCTTTTTTTTTCACTTATCAATTATTACAAACTAAATGTTTGTGCCTCCCCCAAATTCATGTTGAAATCCTAACCTTCAATGTGATAATATTAGGAGGCAGAGCCTTTGGAGGTAATTAGGTCACGAGAGTGGAGTCCTCATGAATGGCATTAGTGCCCTTATAAGAAGAGACAGAATAGCTTTCTTCTTCTCTCCACTCTCTCCCCACCATGTGAAGATACAGGGAGAAAGTAGCCATCTGCAAACCAGGAAACCAGCCTTTGGCAAGCACTGGATCTGCCTATACCTTGATCTTGGACTGCCCAGCCTCCAGAACTGTGAGCAATAAATACTTGTTCCTTAAACCACCCAGTTTATGGTACTCTGTTACAGCAGCTTGAATTAAGACAAAAATATTTCCCCTGCTAAAATATCATTCATTGAAAAAAAAAAAGTTTATTTAGTACCTACTATGTTTCAGGTACTAGTGTTATAATATTCACAATCCCTAACCTTACGGAAGGGCAGACAAAAGGCAAAAAAAAAAAAGAAAAAAAATCATAGACTGAGACCACAATGTAAAAACACAGAGGAGTAGGGGAGTGGCAAGTGGGGAGGGATCCAAGGGACCCTCTCCTGAGAGGTAATTTAAGCTGCAAGCTGAAGGACAAGTAGTTACTACTAAATGATAAGATGGTTCACAGAGAGGGGACACCATGAGCAAAGGATGAGATGAGAAAGTGTGTGACTGTTTGAGTGAGTCAAAGAAGATCCTGGCATGAAGGAAGGTGGCATGGGATGAAGCCAAAACAGGCCAAGGTCAGATCACGCAAGGTCTTAAACTGTCTGGATTGTATTCTAGGTGCAAAAAAAAGTCACTAGCAGGCTTTCAGTGGGGGAAATGATATGATCCAATTTATGTTATAATAATTATATGGACTTTCCACAATATATTTATTCTATTTCCTATTGATGGGCACTTAAACAATTTCTAATTGCTCACTTGGTATTTAGTTTTGGAGGACAAACCTGTCTTCAATGACAGCATATCTTTAGCTATGGCCTGTGAGTTCACTGATGCAGGAATTGATAGCCATATCAGATCAAAGCTGAGAGCCAAAATATCTAGGTGTGAGACAGGGGCAACCTGAAAATGCAATACCCTGAAAGGAACAGGGCATATCAGAGTGAAACGCAAGCACCGTATCAGGCTCCTGCTGCTTGGCACATTTTTGTGACTTCTCTTGGGGAATGTGTTCATAGCTCCCAAATCTATGTTCCCAGACTTTGTCTACATCCTAGGCTCTGGATCCAACTATTTACATGACATCTCTTCTTAAAAGTCCCAGAGCCATTTCAAATTCAGCACGACCAAACCTAAGCATATCCTTCATCACACTCTTGCCCCTGGCTCCACATTGTCTATCTTCGTGACTCACCTCAGCATCATCCACTTTCCCCCAAAATTTGGCCACGACCACTCAGACCTCTCCCTCTGCTTTGCCCTCCACATATAATCCAAGTCTCCTTAATGATGCTGTCCTGCTGTCCACTTCTCTCTACCTGCCCTGGCCACTGAACTCAGGCTCAGACCACTTGCTGCCTGGATTACTGGTCTCTCAATTATTTTCCTCACTTCTGCCCTACCCTTATGCATCCTCCAAAAATAAGATGTCAGTTTTTCTAAGTTCAGATCTGATCATGAAACAACTCCACTAGAAATCCTTAAAAGGCTTCCTGAAGCTTTCAGAATAAAGTCTTAGCAAGACCCTTCATGATCCGGTGCCTACTTCCTTGATCCCTAACCTCTCACTGCTCCCATGTGGGGCCTCACCCTACCAAATGTTGGATGCATATGCTGTGTCCTGCCTTCCCTCTTTTGCATGTGTGTTTCCCTGTCTGAACATCCTTCACCACACTCCATCCGACTGACTCCTTCTTATCTGGATTTATATCCCCCTACTTGTCTTTCAGTGCTCAACGTGGGCATTACCTCTCCAAAAAGACCGGAGAGCGGAGAGTATAAAATTTCCGTAATTGTAAGCCCAGAGCCCAACATAGCATCTAACACCCAATGGGATATTCTGCAAATGTTTCTGCATAAACAAACCACCTTCAGAGCCAGTTTATAAGTCATTTTTTAAAAAAGAAATAATTTATTTATAGTTACCCTCCCTTTTATGTGGAGATGGGGTCTCATTACATTGCCCAGGCTGGTCTTGAACTCCTGACATCAAGTGATCACCCCACCTTAGCATACCAAACTGCTAGGATTACATACATGGGCCAGCACACCAGGCCAATAGTTATCCCTTCATAAAATGAAAGGAAAAAGTGGCATTATTAAGTTTGGGTTACCTTATTTCTTAAACTTCCAAATTCTGAGCCCATTGGCAAAAGTTGGAGTCATGCCACCACTAGGGAAATCCTAAAGAAACCAAAAGTGCTTCAGAAGTCAGTCCAAAACCAAGATCCTAAAATGTCTTCAGCAAAGGTGTCATCAATGGAGTTTATTTTAATCAGTATTTTGAAGGGACAAGCATTAATTTGGATATATGTGTTCTGCTGTTTTTATTGAAAGCAGCCTCAGTATATTACTGGACCTTCCTTCAATTTATGCCCAAGCTTTATTAAGTTTGGTTCACTACAATTTTTGTCCCAGGCCTAATAAATATATATTAGGCTTGGAACAGAAGCATATATATATGTATATGTATATACATATACACACACACATATATACACACACACACTCTCTCTCAATGTTACTAGTAAAGAAACATAAATTAAATACAAATAAAGTCTTTTTGATCTGTCAAATTCACAAAGATTAATAGAATATCTGATCCTGGCAGTATGCAGTGAGAGAGACACTTTGAAATACTACTGGCAGATGTGGACAGGAACTTTTCTGGAAGGCACTTTGGCATTATATACCTTTAAATATTCTTTAAAATATTCTTGTATTTTTCTTCCCATAAACCCACTTCTGAAAATTTATCTTTAGAAATGGTTAGATGTGCACAATCATTTACGTAAGACAATGTTCAACGGAGCACAACTTAGAATGCCAAATGAAACAGGTACCATATATACCATGGATCCCCCACCCCAGGGCCATGGATTGGTTATAAGAACCCAGCGCACAGCAGGAGGTGAGCAGTGGGCAAGTGAGCATTACTGCCTGAGCTCTGCCTCCTCCTCTTGTCAGATTAGTCAAAGCATTAGATTCTCAAAGGAATGTGAACCTTATTGTAAACTGCGCATGTGAAGGATCTAGGTTGTGCGCTCCTTATGAGAATCTAATGCCTGATGATCTGAGGTGAAATGGTTTCATCCCGAAACCACCTACCACCTACCCCCCACACCCCACCCATGTCTGTGGAAAAATCGTCTTCCATGAAACCAGTCTGGGGTGCCAAAAAGGTTGGGGGACCTCTTTTAAGTGTTCCTTTATAGCCATACACTAATATTGGAATAAATTGAAAGCCAACCAGAAGGATACAAAATAGAATGACAACAGTCATCTTTAAGTGATAAAATTACTGCTACATTTTCCTTTCTGTCTCCTAAGTTTTCCAAATACTCTGCAATATACATTTATTATTGTACTCAATTTTCCTTTTTTTTTTTTTTTTTTTGGAGACAGGGTCTTGCTCTGTCACCCAGCTTGCAGTGCAGTGGTGTGATCACGGTCACATGGTCTATCATGGCATGATCAACATCCTGGGCTCAAGCAATCCTCCCACCTCAGCCTCCCGAGTAGCTGGAACGATAGCTGTGTGCCAGGCTAATTTTTTGATTTACTGTAGAAAAGAGGTCTCACTATGTTGCCCAGGCTGGTCTCGAACTCCTGGGCTCAAGCAATACACCTACCTCAGTCTTCCAAAATGCTGGGATTATAGGTGTGAGCCACTGCACTTGGCCACTTTATCCACTGTTAAAATATACCAATGTCAACTTAAATACATTCTTACGGAGCTGTACTTAGCCTTAGTACTTCCTCCCCTCCAAACTCTTCTCCCTTTACCACAGCTAACAATGGTTGAAAGTGTGATGTGGATGATTCTGGGACTACTTCTGCATA